ACCCAGAAGTCAGAAATACCCAGTACAATAACCAAACACCGCATTATACAGACCGACCCCCCCGAGCCGACCGGTCGGCACCAGCTCGACCGCCCGGTCGGTTCGAGCGATACACACCCCTCAACTCCCCCATGGAGCAAGTTCTCAACCAGATCCAGCGGAATTACACCCTCAAATGGCCCCAACCATCACGGACCCCCTCCGGTCGGAAAGACCAATCCAAATATTGTCGTTTCCACCAAGACCACGGCCATAACACCGATAAGTGTGTCAACCTCAAAGATCAGGTCGAGACCTTCATACGTCAGGGACGTCTTAGCCGGTTCACGGACACCCGCCCTCAGCAAAGGCAAAGGAATGAGCCCCCCCAGAAACAACAGCCAGCGCACCCCTCCCCGGCAGCCAGCCCAACCTAACTAAGGCCATGATCGCCCCCCACAGCAACCTCGGGCACAGGGTAACCCCTCCCCACCTGTTGGAGAAATCAGAGTTATTTCCGGCAGACTTGCTTGCTGCGGACCATCTTGCTCGACTCAACGGGCAGAACTCAGAAAAATAAGGCAAGGCTCAGATAAAGAAATTGCCACACTGGATCGACCCTCCAAACAGCCCAGGCAGTGGACTGAGCCTATCACTTTTACGAACGCCGACTGCACAGGCATTTGTTACCCCTACGACGACCCCCTCGTCATTTCAGCCCTCCTCTCCAACTACAAGGTCAGATGGGTTCTCATAGACAACGGCAGTTCTTCAGACATCATCTTCCTCAACTGCTTTCGCCAGCTCAAGATTGGGGAGGAAAGTATGTCCCCTCTCCAAACCCCTTTGGTCAGTTTCACTGGCGACCGGGTGACCTCCATTGGTTCCATCGATCTCCCTATCATGATCGGCGAGTACTCGCGGCAAACCACGAAGTTGCTCACCTTCCTTGTTGTCGACTGCCCCTCTGCTTACAACATCATCCTTGGCCGAACCGCCCTAAACACCTTCCAAGCCATCACCTCCACCTTCTATCTCCCTATCAAGTTCCCCACCGACCTCAGGGTCGGCACAGTCAGGGGAGAACAGACTGTGGCCAGAGAATGCTATGTTGCCTCACTTAAAGAACTTAAGCTTAAGGAGACCATGATCATTGAAGGACTTGACGTCTGAGATGAGGACAAGCTGGTCAGAGGGGAGCCTGTGGAGGAGCTCATTGAGGTTCCTATCGACCCTGCCAACTCGGCAAAAACTGCCAAAATCGGCAGCCAACTATCCACCCAAGCAAAGACCGATCTTACTGCCCTCCTGATCGAGCACAACGATGTATTCGCTTGGATCCACTCAGACATGCCGGGTATTGACCCCTCATTCATAACCCATCGCCTCAGCATTGAACCCCATTTTCGACCTTATCGCCAGAAGCAGCGCATTTTTCATCCGGAGCGCAACACTCTCATTGCTGCAGAGGTCGACAAGCTCCTTGAGGCACAATTCATTAACAATGTGGACTACCCTAGATGGTTGTCAAACGTCGTCCTGGTCCGTACGAACAATAGTAAATGGCGACTCTGTGTCGACTACTCTAACCTCAACCAAGCTTGCCCCAAAGACAATTATCCTCTCCCCCGCATAGATCTACTGGTTGACGCCACGGCCGGTCATCAAATGCTCAGTTTCATGGATGCCTTCTCTAGGTACAACCAAATCCTGATGCACCCATCTGATCGTGAACATACCTCATTCATTACCGACCGAGGTACCTACCATTACCGTGTGATGCCATTTGGACTGAAAAATGCTGGGGCCACCTACCAACGTTTGGTCAATGCTGTCTTCCATCATCAGATAGGTCAGAATATGGAAGTATATGTCGACGACATGCTAGTCAAAAGCAAACTCTCTGCTGATCATTTGACCGACCTGCGTGAGACCTTTGCCACCCTGCAAAAGTACCAAATGAAGCTCAGCTCGGAGAAATGCGCATTCGGCGTAGGATCTGGGAAGGTTTTGGGTTTCATGGTCAGTCAGCGGGGTATTGAAGCAAATCCTGAAAAGATCAAGGCCTTGGTTGAAATGCAATCACCCCGAATGGTTAAGGAGGTTCAAAGCCTCACTGGCCGAGTGGCTGCCCTCAATCGCTTCATTTCCCGTGCAACGGATAAGTGCCTTCCATTCTTCAAAGTTCTTCGGCAAACTTTTGAATGGACGACCAAATCCGAAGAGGTTTTCAGCAATTGAAACAGTGCATGGCCAACCCCTCCTCCTCTCACAGGCAATCACGGGTGAACCCCTCTTCTTCTATTTAGCCATGTCAAGCACCGCAGTCAGTGCCGCTCTTATAAGAGAAGATGGCTCTGTCCAACGGCCGGTCTATTACATCAGTCAGGCTCTCAGGGGAGCGGAGCAGAATTACCCACTATTAGAAAAATTGTCCTTGGCCTTGGTCACCGCTTCCAGACGACTCCGTCCTTACTTCCAAGCCCATTCCATAGTGGTCCTTACCGACCAACCCTTGATGAAGGTAATGCAACAACCAGAACTCTCCGGCAGACTCATGCAGTGGTCACTAGAACTCAGCTAGTTTGACATCTCCTACCGACCTCGCACAGCGATTAAGGGGCAGGCTGTCGCCGATTTCATTCTAGAATTCACTAATCCTACCCCAACCACGGCCCCTCCACCCCCACCAACTCGTACCGACCTAGAAGACCTTCACTCTTGGACTCTCAACGTCGACGGATCATCCTGCAAGGAAGGCAGTGGGGTCGGTCTCATCCTCACCGCCCCCGAGGGTGGTTATTTCAAATGTGCTCTCCGTTTCTTGTTCGAGGCCAGTAACAATGAGGCCTAATATGAGGCATTGATAGCAGGTCTCCGCCTAGCCAGGGATATTGGTGTCAGCCACATCCGGGTGTTCAACGACTCCCAGCTCATTATCGGACAAATTACGGAGGAATTCGATGCCAAGGAGGACACAATGCGGGCTTACAGGGACATAGCACTCCCCCTTGTTCGCCTCTTCAATACCTTGAACATCAAGCACATCCCTCGGGCGGAAAACTCTAAGGCGGACGAGATGACTCAGTTGGCTTCTGCAGACCAGTCTGATCTCAGCCATGGTGTCCGCCTCGATTACCTAGCCCACCCTGCCATTTCCCCCAACCAGCAAGAAGTCCAGTTCCTCCAAAATGAACCCATCCCCTGGGCCGCAGACATCTTTCTGTATCTAACAACAGGGGCACTTCCAAATAACAAACAGCAGGCCGCCAAAATCAGGGCCCGGTCGGCTAATTACACTCTTGTCAGCGGATTCTTGTACAAAAGGGGCTTCTCACACCCATACCTGAGATGCCTCAATCCTGCTCAGGCGACCTACGTAATGAGAGAGGTCCATGAGGGTATATGTGGCAATCATTCGGGCACCAGGTCCCTAGCCCACAAAATACTTCGCACTAGTTATTTCTGGCCTACTCTCAATCAAGACACGACAGATTTTGTGCTCAAATATGACAAGTGCCAATGTTTTGCCAACATCCCCCACGCCCTTCCCACAGAATTGATTACCCTCTGCAGTCTCTACCCCTTCGCCAAATGGGGGATCGACCTGGTTGGCCCACTGTCCATTAGACGAGGCCAAACCAAATTCGCCATTGTCGCCATCGATTACTTCACCAAATGGATTGAAGCAGAATCACCATTACCGAGCGGAACACAACCAGATTCATCTGGCAGTCAATCGTCTGTAGATTTGACATCCCTCAAGCCATCGTCTCAGACAACAGCAAACAATTTGACAATGCCAAATTCAGGAAATTCTGTGCAGAGCTCCAAATCCAGCCATGTTTCTCCTCCCAGGCCATTCCTAAGCCAATGGCCAAGTTGAGGTCACCAACCGTTCTCTTCTCAAGATTATCAAAACTAAGCTGGAAGCTGCTAAGAGACTCTGGGCTGAGGAGTTGCCGAATGTATTTTGGGCTTACCGCACTACCGCTCGGACTCCCATGGGGGAGACCTCTTTTTGCTTAACACACGGCGCAGAGGCGGTCATCTCAGTGGAGATCGGTCTTCCTACCCCAAGGGTTTTACATCCGAATCCAGAACTAAATGAAGAGCTGCGTCGGGCAGACCTAGACCTCATTGAAAAGCTTCGAGAAACAGCTGTAGTCAGACGGGTCTCATACCAACAGAAAATGAGAACACATTACAACCTCAGAGTCCGACCGAGGGAGTTCGTTGTGGGGGACCTTGTTTTGCGAGAAGTAACTCTTCCCACCAATAATCCGACTGAAGGCAAACTGACAGCCAAATGGGAGGGACCTTATGTCGTGAAAGCCAAACCACGACCGGGCACTTACCGACTTCAAGACATGGAAGGTCGAGACCTCCCCCACCCTTGGAATACTGAACATTTGAAGTGTTATTTTCAATACAAGTTGTATTTTTGTATCGTCCAAAATGTTGTATGTTCTTTTTGACAATCTATGTTCTCATTCTCTCCTCATATAGTGTAAATTTGTGACCCCACAGACTACACTTTGTATAACAGCAAGCTTATAGCTCAATTATCTGTGGTATTCCAATAATGATTTGATTGCAGCCTCAGCCAGACTGAGCATGAAGAGCTCGGCCAGACTGAGCCACCTAAAACCTCAGCCAGACTGAGCACAGGAAGCCTCAGCCAAACTGAGCATGAAGAGCTCGGCCAGACCGAGTCACCTAAAGCCTCAGCCAGACTGAGCATGAAGAGCTCAGTCAGACCAAGTCACCTAAAGCTTCAGCCAGACTGAGCACAAAAAGCCTCAGCCAGACTGAGCATGAAGAGCTTGGCCAGACCGAGTCACCTAAATCCTCAATCAAACTGAGCACAAAAAGCCTCAGCTAGACTGAGCATGCAGAGCTCAGCCAGACCGAGTCACTTAAAGCCCCAGCCAGGCCGAAGCCATCATTGCGACTTCATGATCATAAGCACAATGGCCATATTTTCTCATGTTCACTCTGCATTGAATTTTTCTTACAAGTTAAAATTCACTCTGCGTTGAGTTTCTCTCAAAGTCACTCTGCATGGAATTTTTCTTACAAGTTAAAATTCACTATGCATTGAGTTTTTCTCACACTCACTCTGCATTGAATTTTTCTTACAAGTTAAAATTCACTTTGCATTGAGTTTTTCTCACATTCACTCTGCGTTGAATTTTTCTTACAAGTTAAAATTCACTCTGCGTTGAGTTTTTCTCACACTCACTCTGCATTGAATTTTTCGTACAAGTTAAAATTCACTCTACATTGAGTTTTTCTCACATTCACTCTGCATTGAATTTCTCTTACAAGTTAAAATTCACTCTGCATTGAGTTTTTCTCACGTTCACTCTGCATTGAATTTTTCTTACAAGTTAAAATTCACTCTGCATTGAGTTTTTCTCACGTTCACTCTGCATTGAATTTTTCTCACAAGTTAAACTTCACTTTACATTGAGTTTTCCTTACATTTTACACTTCACAATAATTTATACATAAGCCTTATACAAGTCGCATTTCTCATTCATTTCAGATGTGCAAACAAAAGCAGTAACACGAAAACAAGAATAAAAATTTTATTTATTCACAAACTTGTACATAAGTTTCTTACAATCATTCACAAGCACCAAAAAAACAAAACAAAACAAAAACACAAAACAAACCCTAAGCACAGGATTTGTTCACACCAGTTACTCCTCCTCACTTGACACCAAGTCTTCTTCTTCAATGCCCTCATCTAGGGGGGTCTGGGCCACGTCGTCTTCATCAATCCTTACACCGCTAAGGTCCAAGTCTAGGAACAGTTCTTCTGCCTTCCGTTTGAACATCTTCCAGCCACTGTCCCAGAACTCAGCTATTTCGTGTTTGTAGAAGTCCGACCGCTGGAAGCTCTCAATAACTTCTGCTTCAGTCCTGTTTCCAGCGGTCGTTCCTGACGAGCTCGCCTCCCCAGTCACCTCACTTGCCAAATTGCTGGCGACCGCGGCGACGATCGTCATCTGGAAGTCAGCAGACCCCTTGAATTGCTCTACTGCTACCACGCACAAATCAAGGTATGCTACCCTTTCAGAGGCTGCCTTGGTTTTTTCTTCTTCCAACTCCTTCTGCAACTCCTTCTGCAACCTTGCCTTCTCCTCCATTGCCTTAGCACGCTCATCCTCCAGCTCTTTCTGCAGCCCAGCAATCTTCACACCTGCTTCATCCTTCTCTTCGATCTGCTGGAGTCGCAGTTCTTCATTGTCGATCATGGCCTCTTCAAACCGCTCGGTGGTGACCGTGCAGGCATTTTGAGCATCCCCCAGCTTCTTCTGCTCGCCAGCCAGCTGGAACTCGAGCGACACTACCTTGCGCCATTCGTCCTCTAGCTCCAATCTGACCGCCAACAACTCAGCATGGGCACCGTTGGCAACATTGCCCTGCACGATCGCCAATACTTCCATCTTTTTTGCCTTCTCAGCCTCTTGCCAACCCCTAGCACATGCGCTTCGTGCAGCCTTCTTCCAACTTGCACTCTCCTTCTTGAAACTTGCAAGCTGGGCCTTAGCATCCTCCGACTTGACCTTCGCAGCCACCGCCTTTCTCAGCAAAGCCCCTGCTAAGGTCGTTACCTCCATTTGGGTAGAGCACAACCCCCTTAGCAGCTCAGCCTCATTGAACCTGGCCACCGAGCGCACGGCTGTGTCGTCCACAATCCCCATAAGGCGATCTGCAGCCGCCCTGGCTGGGCCTTCCTCTCCCTCTAGCCGCCCAGACACTGCGCGAGCGTGGTAGATTGCAGTCGTCAGTCTGGCCCCTTCTCCTTGGGGCGCAGGGACCCCCTGGGGCTGCTGCCCCATCACTTCCTTAGGGACAGCTGACCCACTCTCCATCACTCCCTCTGGGACCCCTTGACTCTTCTCCTCCTGCGCCTCTAGGGCAACAACCACTTCTGGAGTAGCCTCCACCCCTTTCTCCCCTCCTTCCTCTGCCATCGGAATGCCCTCACCATTTGACCTGGCCTTGTTCGACCCAGGCGCATCTGAGGCCCCCTCAGGGGCAACCCTCCTCTTCTTCTTCTTCTTCAAAACCTCCTCCTCCTTGTTTGCCCTTTCCTCCACTAGATCCACGGGGGGTGGTCACGGCTCAAAACTGCCCAAGTCTTTTTCCCCCAGTGGCTTGGGGCGCGGTCGAATTCTTTCCCTCGCAACCGGTTTTGGTGGTGGGCCTAACTGCACCACCTTGAATTTTTGGGCCCTGGCAAAAATGGTCCGATCTTCAGCCTCCTACGCCTTTCTTCTTACCTCTAGTTCTTCCGATGCCAAATCTCCACCAATCAACTAAGGGCCCAATCCTGCGGCAAACAAAGTGGACGGCTGGACGAGATCGTCCCACTTGACGCCTTCCTTCTCCATCCAGGCCTTCACCTTTTTTACCCTCTCCTCCGCTACAGGCCCCAGCTTTGGCTCCACAGACTTGGTAGGCACTCTCTACACCGTGCGCACCCCCACTCCCCTATTCGCAGACACGTAGAACCACCGCGGCCTCTATCCCTTAATTGATGACGACAACCCTGTCACCAGACACCTCCCTGCCGCCGCCTGCAACGTGACCCAAGTTTCTTGTTGGCCAGAGGCCTTGTAGCACGCAAAAAAATCGTCTACCGTCATAACCGCCCCCTCGTTCGCTTTCGGCCACGCACGTGCACAGGCTAGTACAATCTTTCACGCATTGGGCATCAGTTGACCAGGCGCCACTTCCAATCTGTTTAAGACATCCACTACTACCTGTGGAAGCGACAACCTCAACCCACCCTTCAACACCTCCTCGTAGAGGGCAAACTCCCCCGGCCGGGCGTCGAACGGCCTCTCTGTTGGTGTTGGTAGCATCAATTCTATTTCTGCGGAACCTGGTATTTTTTGCACATACCCTTCAACTCCCCCGCAGTAACAGTCGACTTGTCAGCCTTCGTATGCCAGTGATCTGGCTCAGCCTGGTTGATTAGCTTCAGAGCTGCCATTAATGTCCATGAACGCGGCGGTCCCGCCAGGCCCCCTACTCTCTCTACTTGCCTCTCCGTCCTGTACTGTTCCGCCAACTCCACCGCATCATCGTCCCCTAGTGGATTAACCCTGGCAGTTCTAGCTTCTTCCTGGGCCATTTTTGTTGCGTGTTTGCGAATGGTTTCGGATGTAGGCACAAAAAAGTTCAAAAAATGTCGCAAGGGTGTATCACTTGCAACGAAGGAGTCTACACTTGGAATGTTTTGATTTTTCAAAAAAAGGTAGGTAAAATGTATAATCTTAAAAGCCCAAGGCTTGCCTGTATTCCAGGGGTCACAATTAATTGCCGCCAGTTTGAAAAATTTCCAACCGTCCGCCAAAACTGTCTTTTCAACACCCATTATGACCTATCGTTTCACCTCTGGCCCAACGCCTAACCTCCCCCACCACGAGATGATGCCACGTGTATGACCACGATTCATTACACCCTTCCCCTACCCTGTCTTTTCCACTTCAAGTCACCACGTGACCCGCCGCCTCTCGAGCCCTGCCCTTGCCACTTCCCCCATCGTGGTCGGCCCTCCTCATGGTCGGTCTCTCCACTCGGCTACCCCTCGCGGTAGGCCCTTCTCATGGTCAGCCACTCCACTCGGTTACCCTTCGCGGTCAGCCCTCCTCATGGTCAGCCACTTCACTCAGCTACCCTTCGCAGTCAGCCCTCCTCGTGGTCGGCCACACTATTCGGCTATCTTTCGCGGTCGGCCCTCCTCCTGGTCGGTCCCTCCACTCGGCTACCCTTCGCGATCAGCCATCCTCCTGGTCGGTCCCTCCACTCAGCTCTCTTCCTGATCGGCCCCTACGCTCGATCACTCCTATCGGTCGGCCCCCCTCCTGCAGATCTTTAACCACCCTCATTTTCTTCATTATTCCCTTCATTGGACTAAAGCTGCACTCAGGAATGAGGGACTACTGACATGGGTAAGCCTATAAAGGCTACAGCCCACCATGGACAACTTGAGCCCACCACTTAGGGCCCAATACATAATCCAACTGATAAGGCCCAGCACCATCTGGAAGTCAACATGGCATGAAGGACCAATGATATTCAGACACATGGCTGGTAAAAGGCAAGCCACGTAAGTAGACAAAGATCTGCAAAGTTATTGCCACTGCACATCACCATTAATGCAGCCCCTCACTGCATTTATTACGACAACACCTCTCCGTCGAGACAGCACGCCCTCACCCTGAACAAGGTAAGCTACAGCATAGACTTTTGGCCAAGGTGACAGGTCGAAAGGGACAACGAAATGATTACCAAAGGATATAAGCAAACGTTGAAGACAAGAAGAAGGTTAAGTTTTTCTATCTCTAATCTATCTACATACTCCACTCTCTCTCTCTAACTTGTTCATCGGAGGGTTCGCTGGGGGACTCCCCATTCCCCATTGAACTCTTGTGCAGGTTCTCTAGTGGGCTTGGTCATTCGGATATTAGGCTTGAAGAACGTGGATCAGTCCAACCCGTCCTACCATCATTATTGTATCATCACATGTCATGCCATGAATCAAGGCATATGAAATAGAAACGCCATTCAAGAAGTTGTAACATAAATATTTTGGAAGAAGCCAGCCTTGTTTGGTTTTCTTTTGAAAGGGTAATTTTGGAGAAAAAAATTTAAAATTTTGTTTGGTTTAGTGATTTTAGAAAAAAAAATTTCAAAATTACTTTCTCTCTCCTACACATCAATCAATCACTTTTTCTCGCTCCTCTCTTCTTCTTAATCACTTTTTCTCTCACACATATACTCAATTATAACAAAATATCAAATCATCCTAAACTCACATACTCCAAAACTATTTCCAAAATATACAACCAAACAAACCAAAAAAATTTCTAAACTTTCTTTTTAATTTTTTTTTTAAAAATTTATCTCCCAAAACCAAACCAAACACACCCGCCATCTCTTATCCAAATTTGTATTCCTTCGAGGCTTTGGTGCTACATATAAATTCGTCTTCACATGACAAGCACAAGGATGTGGCAGTACAGATGGAATATTTCGAAGAGATGATTTTGCATAGTGGCTTAGGTGTGTTTTGGGAACGAAGAAATAAATAATTTTTTTTTTTTACTTTTTATAAATAAGTAAAAAATAATATATTTTAGGTTTGTTTTCTTTTGACAAGAAGATAAATAAGTTGTGGGGATATTTTTAGAGTTCTTCATGTAATTGAAATTGTTAGTCGATGTGCCACGTGAATGAATCAAGTTACCGAGATATGATGCGATTATATCGACATCCAAGATATTCGGATAGAGGATAAGAGTCCTAGATGGTTTGAGACTCTCTGTGTGGATAGAGATGAGACTCTTATGGGAGTTTGCTCTAATTCGGATTAGAAGAGTCTGAGATAGATGTTATGCTAAGCGATAGAGTCCTACGAAGTGATACTTCTAGAGGACGAGAGCATTGTTGACTATAAAAGTAAAGCACCCTCGTGAGTCTAAAGTACGTTTTTGTTTGCAAGTAATTTACTTGTACTGATATCTAGTGAAATTGTTGACTGACTTGATTCTCAGAGTACTCCCGGGTGGACGAGCCACTGTGGTGTTACTTTCTTGTGTGCAGGTGTTGGGCTCATTTATTCTTCCATGTGCTCTATAGCTAACTTCCTAGGTGTTTTATAAATTGTGTGATTAAATACAAATAGATTCATAAACAATTACAGAACATGAAATATGCTGAATATACCAGTTGAACAGAATTACATAAGACATTAAAATGACAAAAAGAAATCAAATCAAAGCCTGCACTAGGCAATGTTCTTAAAACAAATTCATCGTCTCACCGGTTGGGTGCTAGAGGTTGTTCGACGCCTGTCTCCCAAGATACGACGATTAGACTAGCTATAACAATGAACCGACTGAGTAGCTTCAGGGAATAAAATTTTCCAGCACGCTCTCACATGACGAATAAAATATAAAACTGGAGGAAATCTTTTGAAGACAAAAGCAAATTTTCTGGGTAAAAAGAATGAAGGAGAAGGATTTCATTTTATATACATGGACGGAGAGAGGGAGAGGCTCCAGCCATCAAGGCCCATCATAAATGCAGAAATCAATTATGTATTAATCTGCAAAACTGATGAATTAAATCCATCATGAATAGAGGAGTTACTAGCTCCATTATACACCTAGGTTTTGTGTACATATATCTGTAGCCCACAAATCTAACTTGGCCCAAAAAGATTAAAATGGGTCGCCCAAGCCCAAGCCCAACCCCCACACTCAATCCATTCTAGCAAGCCTCAAGCCTCAAGCCCATGCCCAAGCTTAAGCCCCAAGATCCAAGATTCACGACCCCCGGACCTAGGACCCAGCCCGGCCCGGTCCGGTCCAGTCTGTGTGCCACGCGTCCGCACGTGTGGCAATTTTTGCATAACCAACTTAGACTATAGTCTTAGCCTAAGTTCATCCTTGAAGTATCCATAACTCCCTTCCTTCGAAAAATTTGGATTCCCCAAAAAGCTTACACCCTTATGCAAAAAATGAGATTTGAATACTCATCAATGCTCTCATTTACAATCAATGTGAGATACAAGGTTTTACACCTTTCCTAACACTTCTTTCATGAGGCCAACTTACTGAGTCAATTTCTCATTCAAACCTTAATGGTTTTTGGTCATTCTTTTTGTGGTGTAAAGATCTCACTACAAAGAATCTAAACCTACTTTACTCCACCTCAATTGAGGATTGACACCCACTTTAATATTGCATTAAAGTCACCAAAAAACTATTATTTTTCCAACAATCCCCCACATGAATAAAAATTGACCGAATAATAACAAACGAACAATGCTTAACAACAAAGACTGGAATACGATGCAACGAAATAACCCCGGCATCGGAAATGGTAGCTTTTGGCTTTGAACCCTTCCTAGTCAAGTATATCGGATTTACTGGTTGTCCAATGAACACGAAGTCTTGAACTGTTCTGTCATTTATGTAAACCAAGACAACAAACTTCACACAAGAATTACTCCAACCATCGTTATGTTCTTACTGTTGTGTTCGTTTTGGCCCTGGAACACTAGCTTGGTTCAGTGAGTGGTTTAAAGAATTAGGCCCTATCAATTCTTAGAGAAGCGGCCCCACTTC